AGTCGAGTAGGTTAGATCTCGATATCACTATGGTTCACTACTTCTTGCTACTCTTTCTGTAATTACCCCTTTCGTATCGCTAGTGATTTATGGATCACTGAAGTTTGACTACCTCACATATTACTTTGAATGCACATGAAAGTCTAGCGTTGCTATGAAACAAAGCCTACAGCAGCTGTATTTTGCATTCGACTTGATTCGTGAATTAATTTACACTCCATATCGCAGATGGAGAGGGCGTGGCCAGCATTTCATTTGAACGTAGCGGCAGCCCGCTCTTTGGTGAGATGCCGCTGTTTTGGGAAAACTGGGATCGTTCAGCATCTCAAATGGAAATGTTTCACGAAAAACGTACACGCAGTCACGCCCTCCAGACCTCCGGGATATGGAGTGTAGCGAATCTTGGTTACTGATTGCGAAAAGATTGTCCTGTCGTAAGAGATCAAAGATTGAAGCAAATAAACATTTGGCATTTTAAAAACGGATTTCCATGCAACACTAACTGTGCTTTCTCTCGTGTTAACATGACCAGTTTGTGGTCACGAACTCATCTGTTTAATTCTGGTGGTTTATAGAGCAGACTGTGGTACAATTATTTACATATGTTCATCAATAGTACACTACACAACTACTTTTAGGATCCGTGTAAGGTTTGCTATGTTGATGAATCGTCGATTTCGCTCTTCAGTTGGTCAACAATCGCCCGGCGGGCGGCCAAAACGTCGTCACTACCGATGCCGCCACGACTTCCTCGCATAAAGCCTCTAGCCGCTCTGGCTGTACGAGGGCGCTCTTGAGCTGCACGTTGGCTGACATCCTGTAAAGTCACAGTTATATTAAACCTACACAGTCATAAGTCATAAGACACTGTTAGCCTTTAAGGCCCGCTAGTCGATATGCAGTCTTAATCGCTGCGGAAGCTGGGGCGTTTGAGAGGGATGGCGGTAGCTCATTTTCCACCAACTGTTGAAGGGGGCAGGCGACAACAATTGGTGGGGACGGACTGGTTTGGCGCCGAGCCTAGTCCCAGATCGGCGGAGAACAAGGGAGTATGCTGGCCAGGTTCTGGGCAAGATTATCGAAATTCGTTCCTAACAGTAGATCTTGCCAGGGTTCTGCCTTACCACTCGAGGCGCCCTCCACATAAGCCTGATAGCCTAAAACCTGCAAAATCATAAAACGTGATGATACCTGTGTGGTCGGTAGCAGCTTGTCTCCTTTCAAGATACTCAGATGAATGCAAAAAACGTCCCGGATGCTCTACAGAATTGACACGCCAAAACAGTTCTGAAGTGTTAAAACGCGAGGCGCAGGCGGCGGCTTCTACGGCTAAGCAGATGTGATATTACTGTTCAGAGAATAAATCCCCGGACGACGTCTCAGCTGAATTTACCTCCTGAGGAGGACTGTCATGACCTGAACTTCTAGTAGCAAGGACAGTAAAGATCATTAGTGTCTACATTCGGCAGCTGAAAGGACTACAGCCAACTGTACCAAAGTTCCGCGCGCCAGAAGGGTGTCTTCTAAGACGCTAGAGCACAGAACACTACCGGAATGAGGAAAGTTACACCCAAAAAATTCCAGAAAAAAAGCCGAATTACTGTTGAAGCTGTGATAGAGGAAGGGTCCATTTTCCCCCCAAACCGCACTACCCCTAAAAACCTAAAAAAAAAAAAAAAAAAAAAAAAAAAAAAAAAAAAAAAAAAAAAAAAAAAAAAAAAAAAAAAAAAAAAAAAAAAAAAAAAAAAAAAAAAAAAAAAAAAAAAAAAAAAAAAAAAAAAAAAAAAAAAAAAAAAAAAAAAAAAAAAAAAAAAAAAAAAAAAAAAAAAAAAAAAAAAAAAAAAAAAAAAAAAAAAAAAAAAAAAAAAAAAAAAAAAAAAAAAAAAAAAAAAAAAAAAAAAAAAAAAAAAAAAAAAAAAAAAACGACTCTGCCTTGCCGCTACATCTAGTCGACGCCGGCGACTCATCCTGGACGTAGCACTGCGGCACGTGGCCTGGGACCATGCCCGCTATAGGGTCCTCCATCTCCGCGGGTCTTGCCAATTGCCTGTTTTGATACTACTGTGGCAGCGGTAAGAGTAGCGAATTTTTTACAATCAGTTCGTTTTCCCCAATCCATACTAGTAGGGGAGGATCGCATTCAAAGGACAACGCGATTTTTAATGAAAGTAGGACGCGTGGAGTGTTCCTGAAAGGGAACGGTCAGCACTAGAGGTTTTCTAGTTTTACACTCGACAGCGTGTCGGTCGAACTAGCTAAAAGCTTTTTCAACTATGTGCTCCACGAGACGAAACTACGTTCATTCTGAGCTCAAGAATTCCTTACGTTCAACTGCTTCTCGCGTTCGTTGGCCTTCATGGCGAGGAGACGATCGCGTTGCATTCGGAAAGATACTCTTCCCGGCTACGAACAGTTGCCGAGTTCAGACGATTAGGCTGTTGGAGCAAGGCCTAGAAGATAAATTTCGTCAGATTCATGCTTTTTGTATATCACAGCGTTCACGATTACAACTAGATGGATAACATTGTACTGACCAAGTCTAAGAAGGTGAGCACTAAAATGTATAAAACTCTGAAGAACCCTATCCGGCTAGATTAGCAGCGTTAGCCCATTCTGGTAGCAGAGGTGATCGCGGAGTGGAACAGTGCCATCTTTCATTCAACCATCGACGCATTCTGGAGTGGACTCGGCTCACAACCTTTCGCAGACGGCCAGCAGTAGGCTGCTAGCTGCGATGAGTTTGAGGTCCTCAATTCAGGCCAAACCACATTTTGAAATCTCGTCCTAATGCATCGCTAATCTGAGTTTGACATGTATAAGCGTAGCTCACTCCAAAAGGTTCTGCGTCAACTTTTCTCCAGCTCCAAGCACTCCGCATGTATGGGGCGTGTCAGCCAGTATGAGTGTGCACACTGTTGAAGCCGTTCTCAGCCTTTTTGTTGAAACGCGTATGCGACAAAAAGTGGTAGAAAACGAGTAATACGAAGGATATAATACAGTCATATCATTTGCTCGCTTCAAATTTGGTGGAGAGCGGGTTGCACTCCGCCAAACGCAGCGCAGTGGACGCTCCGACTAGTACGTAAGGATGAAGCACCTCAGAGCACACCGCATAGTATCTAGATGCTGATGTCTTACAGTACAGTATTAATGCCTTTCGGAACAATTTTCATGGCCAAAAAATTCTAACAATAGTGAGCAACAGTAATCTTATTTTGTGGTAATATAGCACTATTAGATTGACAATAACAGGCAAAACAAACTCGGAGAACCGTCACTCACGTTAACATCGTAAATGTTCTTTCCGCGTGGCCCATACGTGACTCCATCGTCTTCCTGCTCTTGTTCATCCTTCTTCCCAGTATTCGTAATGAGGCTTCCTAACTCTTTTCGTTTTCGCGCTTCCGTTGAGGGCTAAAATCTAATGCTGCGCCTTGTTGAAGTGACTGAGCCTCCAAAAATATCACTTTCTAGCGCACTTACCCGCCTCTCCTTCGCGCCTTTCTGTGCAGCTGTCTCTACACCAGCACCGCTCGCAGTGTTCAGCCTCTTTCCTGTCGGTGGACGTCCTTCTCGCCTGCTGAAAGGCAAAACCGTCTAATGAGCTGCCGAACAATTTCAGTTGGGTAACTAACCTTTTTGGTGGCGTTTTCTCAGACGGTGCTGGTGGCGGCTTTCCAGAAGGTGATGGCGCTCTTTCAGAAGGGGCTGGTAAAGGCGCACCTGCCATTGTAGGTGCAGTTTTTTCAGTGACACTCGGCCGTCGTTCCTGTTGAGAAGCCGATGAAGATTTTCTCGACGGAGAACGTTCCCCACCGAGCTCTTGTCGGTCCTTCTTGGCAGTAGCTGCTCTGGTTGGCTTAGATCACTGGCTGCCATGCTTACGGACGTTTGGAATCTCTCGGCTATCTGGGGCACAGCTTCTTCAGGGGTTACCCCTGGTTCCGCATTCTTCTGCATCAGCGGTGTACTCGTTTCTATACGGGAAGATGTCGTAGTTGAACCTTCCTGTTTTTGAAGTCGCCTTTCGTCCTAGAAGAAGTGTTTAGATTGGGGTTAACGGAATAGTAAACGAACTGAAAAACTATCTTAAGGGTGAAACTTTGGAACTTTGGAACGAAGTTATGGGTTCTTGACTTCCATGCGGGCAGAATGTATAGAAGAACCTGCACGTCGTTGCTTATGAATAGGTGAAGCTCATAGCCAGAGTACTCGCTCATAGTGTGGGCGGAGTAAGGCCTGCCATTGTGCCTAGGTGCACCCTCCTTCGGATGACAACGAGGAGAAGAAGCCCACAGATTGAGGAGCAATGGTGGACCCCGCTCATAGGTGTGAGCTCTGCTCATAGGTGTGATCTTGTAAAAGCTGAGCGACCCCGGATGAATCTAGAGCGCTGATCAGTGGATACCTAAGGTCCGTTCCGTATTGCTCCGCCCCTGCACATATGGCGCCTGCTTTTAGATGAAATATCGAGAATTCAGTGAAGAAATTTCAATGTTGAAATTGTGAAAAGTCACTTCATAACGAGATATAATTCACCTCTTTTCTAGCAGCTAGAGCACGGCTGAAAAGTTCCTCTTCTTTCCACGTTGCATTTCCAACCGCCTTCTCTCCTCTTCGCTGCTTCTCAGTACGTCTTCTAATTCTTCCATTTCACTTTTGGTGAGATTATCAAACTCTTCTTTGCTTTGCCTGCAAATCTGTTTTTTTTCTGAAAACCCTTTCGACTCTCAAATTTATCTTCTTTTGCTCACCAAACGAGGTTGATGGATCCTGGGTCTTAAACTTACGTTCCACCCGGACTGGTGTTTTTCAGAGTGTCAAAAACGACAAGAATTTTTTACTAAAAGGCTGCATGAAGTCATTCACACTTGGTATCCTGAACACGATATGGCGCAGGACGGCGGCGTAGCTTGGAGCGCATCAGATTTTCCGCCAATCGTAGCGGGCTCACGATTACATGATTGTTAGAACAAGGTGGACCTGGCTGCGCTCCCAACCGCTCCGCGTCAAATGCCCGATCGTTTCCATGGATCACCACTATACCTTAGTGAAAAAAATTCGAGACAGGTAGGGGAAAGAAAGCGGGCCTGTGAGACATCATATGAAATCTCCACTCATTTTTAGCAATTTGAGCTCCCCATTTTCTACGATAATCCAGTCAATACAAGGCACTACCTCATCACCGCAATGAGGACGTATCGTTCCGTTTCCTCTGGTGAGATCACTTTTGCTTTATTCTTCAAAGTTTCACCATCTTCGATTTGTAATACAGATGGGAGCAAACCACACATAAACTGAAAGAAGATCGTGTGAAGGCCTCCTAGTCCAGAAACCAGTAATGTAGGCTTACCTACCTCTATCATCTGAAGTGCCTGCAGCTGCAGCTCCACATTCTTCCTCATCATCATTGGTACGAATACGTTAAAGTCTTTGGCAGCTGCTAAGGGCTCCAAACTTGTCTATCAACAGAACGTTATTAATCACCGAAAAAAACTCACTGAGGTTCCCACTTCGTCTCTGAGTTTGCTGAATTGCGCTGTTCTTGAGGATCGATTCGGAACAAATGAGAAAGAATCGTAGAGGGGTAGCTCACGTTTCAAAGAAACAAAAATTTTGCAGTCTGAGGAATTGCCGCTACCGTATTCCGCGCGCTTGTTTCAGTTTCCCGCGTTCGAAGTTTTTTCTTTAAATTTGTGTGCTACCGCATTCGGTGCTGCCTGCGCGATGTACTTTTCACCATTTTAACTGATTCACATGGCGCGCGCCATCGAGCGCAAGTCTGTCAAACGTGAGGTGGGAGGGGCTCCTATACAGGGTACAGCATCGTGATGTGTGGTATGGAGGTGTAGGTACGACCCTCCCCCTTTCCCCAACACCTACATACCTACCAATTTCCCGCATTTTCCAGTTTTTCACCTGAGGATTTTCCATCGAGGGGGAAAGGGGTATAGCCAATGTGAAACGGGAAAATTCTTTGATTCTTCCCAACTTCCTACCACTTTATCCGGAATTTCCCTCCTTTTCACCAAGAATTTTGAGGGGGGGGGGGTATATAGTACACATGAAATGGAAAAAACCCGCGAAAAGTCAACAACCGGATAAAATTTTTCTCAACGCCGCAAGTTTCTCTCAAAGGCACATGACCGCCCCCCCTGCCTAGCGGAAACGTACAACCCA